CACTCATCCTCATAGTTCGAGCTGACGTGTGACAATGAAACTGTCACACGCCGGCTCAATAGATCGGGAAGTGAGCGAATACATACCATCACTCGCTCACTTCTCGATCATCTACCTGCAGAGAGCCGTACCTGTCAGTCACTGATCCCCGCAGGGATTCTCCCTCCCCGTTCTGATCCTCCAGTGCTGGCTGGGGGAATGGATGGAGGAGGCGGGTACAGCTGGCTCTGCTTCTAGATAGGCAGAGTCCGCTGTCACTCACGCAGCTGGGTGGATCTTGACAGTAATGTCGGGATCCGTCCCGGCTGCGGCGGTCTCAGTATACCACGAGCTGTATGTAGCTAGCGATATACTGAGCTTTGGGTCACTGGAGGACACTAGTATATGTCCTCACTTGACCCTTAAGAGAGCTATGAGGAAAAACACTTAGGCTGGGTTCACACCTAGGCGTATCGAATATGAGCGTTTCGTGTCGTGCATTTTTACCGCAATTCGCGGTAAAAACCGTGCGACAAACGCACGTTTCCGAGGGCTACCTGGCTGTATCCCAATGGATACGCGCAGCAAATACGCCCCAAAGAAGCTCCTGTACTTCTTTGGGCGTAGGGCGTTTTGCAGCACGTTCCTACGCGCTGTAAAACGCCCAGATGGGAACCATGCCCATAGGCAATCATTGGTTTTCACATGTTGAGCGTTTTACAGAGCGTAGGAACGCGCTGTAAAACGCCCAGGTGTGAACCAGGCCTTACTCCATAGTTCTCTTAAGTAATTTCAAATGCTGATTAAATAACTTACAATGGATGCTGCTCCTGAATGTTTAAAAGTTGTAGCTTCCTGCAGAATCAACTGGTCCCTTGAGCACTGGTCCTGATATCCTGTTTTAGGGTGGCATAATCCTATAGAGTCACCCTAGTATGTGCTAGCGAGTCGTGTCAACAAACGCACAGGCACGGCAAGGCAAGCCACTTTCCTGCTCCTCTATCCTCCTTCCTGTTCCCTTCTCTAAGCTAGTAGATGGACAGCTGTTGGAGATTGCCCCTTGTGCCCCTTGTGATCTTGTACTGAACAACATGTTTAGGGAAACAAAGCTGAGAGAGCTGAAGCTATGTGGAAACATGACTAAGTGTTTGAGGAAAAATGTAAAGCAATACTTTGCTGAGCAATGCATATTTGTTTGATCTGGATTCATGATCAAGAAAATAGAGGTCTCAAGAACCACCCCAAAACTACATTAATGCAAATGAAATTTGAAGGCTTATTGACTTATTAGCGCCACTGGACAATTACTGTGCAATTTACAGAGAAATTGTAGAGTCCGATATCTGTGTTCATTAAGCGTGTGAAAATATGACATTTATTAAAGTTCTGTGACATCTATCAAGTCAGAGACTATTTCCATTAAGCAAGTTAGAACATGTTATTTCTTGCGGAGTAAATTGAACCACCAGTAACAGTACATGCACCAATTATCCATTTATCTTTTTATGTCCTCAGACCACACACAAGCAACGTTTAAATGCTGCAAAAGATGATCATTACCTCTGTCGTGTATAGTGCTGGGTAAACTCACTTACCTTCCAGAATAAAAATAGCATTGTGTTGAAATTAAAGATTGCAGTTGGAGTCAGGAAATATTTTATTTTAGTCCATCTGACTAAAATGTTGTACAATTTAGCTCCACTTGTATTATTCTGGCAAATGCATAAACAATTAATTTGATGGAGATTTGGAAAGTGAGTTTTTTTATATAATTTGGTCAAATGTTTGTTGTACTTTTCAGAACATTTCAATAGAAATGCCATCAAAAAACAGACATTCAAGTTTTGGGGAAGTAACCCCAAACTGGGACAGTTCGTGACAATCACCAACTGCTCCAACACTTGTTTTTGGCTGCTCTGGGGAAAAGGGGTCTACCAACAGCCCTTATTTTATTACATTATATAAGAGAGGTAGAGTAAAATTTCTAACAAGGAACGAGGAACTTCAGTGGGTGCACTAACCCTTCAAATATAATAATTTTTGGACGCTTTTATATAAACAGGTTTCTAGATGCGCCAAATTTTTTAGACACTTCTCCATTACTTGTATTAATTTTAAAAAATGTAATACAGAATTCTTCAACAAAATTGTCTGGATCTGCGTTTTTACTGCCCACCACCTTAGGCCTTGTTCACACCAGATGCAGTGTGTTCCGGCCTGATTCTGGCCCGAACGCACTGCCCTCCATTGCGGCCGACTCACTTTTTTGCGGGGCAGGAGGGGGTGTGGCGGTCCATTGAAGTGAATGGCACCGTAGCCACGCCCACCGGCTGCAATGCCATCAGCCGCACAGGATTGCAAGTCACATTATGCCTGCGGTCCAGTCAAAATGCTGCAAGCACTATTTTGTTTGGACCGGACTGCAGGCATAATGTGTCTTGCGATCAAGTGCGGCCGGAAGGCGTGGCTACGGTGCCATTCACTTCAATGGACCGCCATGCCCCCTCCTGCGCTACTTAGTGAGCCGGCCGCAATGAGATGCAGTGCGTTTTGGCCAGAATCGGCCCGGAACACACTGCACCTGGTGTGACCGAGCCCTGAAACCCAACATGGTGGCCACTTGAGTCTGTACACATGCCGCCTGTGCAATGCTTTGCTGCACAGTACATTTAAGGTCTCGTTCACACCTAGGCGTATTGCATATGCGCGACTGTCGCACGTTTTTTTACCGCGATCCACATCCTAGTTAGTTATGCATTCTCACAACACAAGGTGTAGATTTTTTTTTTTCTGTTTAAAGTACATACATGTACTCCCTCCAGTCAACACATGATGGCCCGTCTCTGATGATATGTACTGACATTTGAACAGAAATTGCCACTAAAGTGTGCATGTCACAAATATATACTTACCTGGCAGTTACTGCAACAATGATGAAATCACTGAGTATCAAACCTACTGAGTACCAGGTAGTGATCTCCCCTCTGACCGCAATTACCTTACATAGCAGAACTGCATATACCCTGGCAAAACAAAAAATCTGTCTCTGAATTCAAGTAGAGATTCTGACAGCACTTAAAAAAGCCTGTTGACTGGAAAATCACAAACACAAAAAGCACAAAAATACCCCAGAGCTCATTAAACATGACATATATACTGCCTTTCTCCAGCAAAATGTCACTAGAGTGAGCAAATTCTCCAAAAAAGGCAAACTGTACAGAAAGCCTGGGCTTTAGGGAGTATCACCTCAGTGACCAAGAACCATCACTGATATACTCTAGAAAGCATGAAGCTAACAAATTCATTAATCTTTAGTAATATATCAACTTTTCCTTTAGGCTGTTTGCAATAAAACATAAGTAGGAGACGCTCCACACTGTTTGCATCTTCTGGGAATAAACAATCCTACTTCTACAGTGGATGCAGGATTTCCCACAATTTCATTTTTTTGTTTTCTTACATGAACCAGAAAACACGACAGGCACAATCTGACTGGCTGCCAGTGTCAGCATCTGCGCATTGTTACACAATAAGGTTAAAAAAAAAAGCAGATGCCCATCAAATAGAACCTTTCACAACTCCTGCAGCTTTAGTCCTAAAGAAGCCAAAACACAACCCTCTAGACCAGTGGTTCTCAACCTGTGTAACCTTGGGACCCACATTTGCCCACGATCATTAAGTCATGACCCAAGTTGCACTGCATCGTTCCATGTTGCGGGACTACGCTTTCCGATGCAGGTGATCGAACTTGTGGGTGGTAGGTGCGTTTGGGTTGCCATTACGGAAAAGGGAGTGGATCCTCAACCTGGGGTCCAGTGTGGGCTGCTGTGCCGTGATGGTGCTCCATCCATATGTGTATTGCTTGTAAAGCTCCCGTGCGCACCCGTAGAGGTGCTGGGAGCCAGAATGTGATGAGCTGTAACCAATGCACATATGGATGGAGCTCCCTCGCGGCCATAGCTCCAGCCCACTGCACCCCACCTCAAGTCGACACTCGGCACCGGGCATCATAATTTTGAATGGCTGCTCGGTACGAGAACTGACAGTGCTTCTCTAGGATCCTCTCACCTAGAAAAGTGGAGTGCATGTGGTGACCCACTGGACATGGGGCTGCGACCCACTTTTTGGTCACGACCCACCAGTTGAGAACCAAGGCTCTAGACAACCGTCTCAAATTTTGCCACCCAGGCAAAAAAATGAATTCCTTCAGGCCTTCCTAAAGATCATTAGAGACTTTAGTAATTATACGTTTAGATACTTGTTGCAAGAATATCATATAGTCCTTTTCCTCAAAAATATACTGGGAAAAAAAATAATCTTAACAAAACATGACTGCAAGCTCTGGTTCAGGAGCTGATAGGTTCTACGTGCTTTGAAATACACTGGGGGGAAGAATTGTCAAAACTGGAGCAGATCTACACTGCAATCAATCAGCATCTTTCTTCAGTTTGTTCAGTTAAAATTTGAAAATTAAAGATAAAAGTTCCCATGCACATCTGCTGCAGACTTTGTCTGCCCCGGTCTTGATAAATTCCCTTCTATGTTTGCCAGCACCATACAATTAAATAAATTAAAAATATAACTGTATGCTCATAAATTGTGCTGATGATCAGGGCTGGCTGCCTTAACAGAAATTATTAAGGAATATATTTTGGAAAATGTGTGCAGAGACTGCCACCGAGTGTCCCGAAACAGAAATCACACGCCGCTCATGACAACTGAAAGCACTTATACATCATACAAGAAAAATTTCTTTGGTGCACTAATAAATCAGTAAATAAATCCAATGGCATCTAAACAGTGATAAATCCGTCATTCTGCCAATGCAAGCTGCAAGCAAATGACAAATCACTGTGCTGCTCTCACTTAAGAAATAAAAAAGTGCTTAAATAGGATTCTGTGCCTTATTTAATTTGAAATAGGTTTGAAGCAACAGGGAAATTTAACTCGCTCGCGGCCAACAGCTCACGGCAGAAATGTAGAATACTGTGCCACATTCTAGGATGAAATGTCAATCTTACCTGGACACAATGCTGGAGCCATTATACAGGTCGCTGGCATAAGACAGTGTGGCAAGAGGGCGCACAGAATTATATCTGGTGAATTTGGATAGGCACTCCTGAAACTCATCCAGCTGGCTCACCGTCCGGCTATCATCTGTGCAAGAGGAGACATTAAAAAGCAATATGAAAAATTAGAACCATAAATTATCAGATCAAAAACATACGTATGTAAAATCCTCACATTTCACCATGTGACATCCCCAATTCCAATAAAGTGGGGGCGCTGTGTAAAATCTACATATAAACAATGCAATGATTTGCTAATCTCAAACCCATTCTTTATAAACAATAGAAAAAAGAAAACATATGAAATGTTTAAACTGAGAACATTTTAAGAAACAAAAAAATGGTCATTTTGAAATTGATGGCAGCAACAAGTCTCAAAAAAGTTGGGATAGGGCAACAAAAAGCTGGCAAAAGAAGTGATACTAACAAGGAAGAGCTGGAAGAAAATATTTCAACTAATAAAAAGGTTAATTATTAACAGGCCAGTGACATGATTGGGTATAAAAAGAACATTTGAGAGAGTCAGCGTGTCTCAGAAGATGGGTAGAGGTTCACCAATCTGTGTCAAACTATTTCAGACTAACGTAACTCAATGTAAAATTGCAAAGACTTTAAACGTATCTTTATCTACAGTACATAATATCAAAAGATTCAAAAAATCTGGAGAAATCTGTGTGGAAGGGACAAGGCTCAGGCGCAATATTGGATGTCCGTGATCTTTCAGGCCATCGGGTGGCACCGCAATAAAAACAGGCATGAATCTGTGACGACAAAACTGCATGGGCTCAGGAATACCATATTTTTCCGTGTATAAGACGCTATTTTTCATTAAAATGTTTACCTAAAAATAGAGGGGCGTCTTATACACGGGGGCCGAGAGGAGAACCGAGGTTGCGAAACTGCCGAAAGTGCCGATACCACTGCAAACTACCGTAGCCTCACAAGTGAAACGGATTGCAGAGACAAGCATAAGTTTTCCTCCAATCATAAATCTTTTGTACCTGAGGTCAGCTTTCTCCCCAGTAACAGCTGACATCAGTTACAAAAGATTTATGATTGGAGGAAAACTGTTATCTTGTCTCTGTAATCCGATCATAAATCTTTTGTACCAGATCATAAATCTTTTGTACCAGACGCCAGCCGGCGCTCGGGAGAGCGTGTAGCCAGTGCCCAGAGCTGTAATGTCGGAGCATGATGTGATTGAGGTAAGTGTAATGCATTATACCATTTAAAATATTAATTTGGGAATTTGGGGTAAGAAAAGTTGGGGGCGTCTTATACATAGGGGCGTCTTATAGACGGAAAAATACGGTACTTCAAAAAATCACTGTCAACACCGTTCGCCTTCCATCCAAAAATGCACGTTAATTTGACATTCTTTTTGTCAACCATGGAACAGAGTCCTCCTGACTAAAGAGGAGAGGGACATTCTGGCTTGTCATCAGCACTCAGTTCAAAAGCCTGCATCTCTGATGGCATTGGGGTGCATTAGTCCGTATGGAATAGGCAGCTTGCATATCTAGAAAGACTCCATCAATGCTGAAAGATAACACATATTTCTAGCAGCATATGCTTACATTCAGATGTCCTTTTTCAGGGAAGGCCTTCTGTATTTCAGCAGGACAATGCTAAACCGCATACATGACAACAGAATGGCTTTGTAGTAGAAGATTCTGGGTGCTTAACTGGCCTGCCTGCAGTCCAGACCTTTCAACAATTGAAAAAAAATTGGTGCATCTTCAAACGAAAAATAGGACAAAAACAACCCAGGACTGTTGAGCAGTTAGAAATCCTATATCAGAGAAGAATGGGACAACATTCCTCTCCCAAAACTCCAGCAACTGATATTTACAGAGTGTTAAAAGAATATGGGATTCTACACCCTGGTAAACATGGCCCTGTCCCAACGTTTTTTGAGACGTGTTGCTGCCAATTTCAAAGTTCCCTTATTTTTCTCTGAAGATGGCACATTTTCTCAGTTTAAATTTGATATGTTTTCTATTGTGAATAAAATACAAGTTTGAGATTTGCAAATCATTTCATTGTGTTTTTATGTAGATTTTACAGTGTCCTAACTTATTGTGAATTGGGGTTGTACAAGCCACAAGGTAAACTACAGCAAGACACAGATGTAATATTTCACAAATCTAACTGCCATAAACTTGCGTGAACAATACTCGCTGCTACAAATCCTTGCTCTGAAACTATATTAAATATTACAGAACTGTAGGCATCCCAAAAGAATGCACTCCTAACATGACATACTGGGCGGTGGTTAATTATTGCCTATATTTCCTATATGTACCTTTATTTATATCCGGATTAGGTTGCCCATGCTGCATTGAAGCTGCAAGGTTCCTTGAATAGCTGTGACCTGTGAGATGATGAAAATGGCAGCGTATAGATCACCTACAAGTGTCATATGGCAGGAAATCTAGAATCAACTCCATATTGTAGGGTGGAAGTGGTCATATATTCAGGAGCAGGAAGAGAGAATGGTCACCCAAATCACACACATTGTGTTAATAGACCATTTCCAAGAAAATTAGAAGATTTCCAAAAGAGCGCTCCTCTCCCACACACTACTCCAGTTGGATTGAACAACATTTCATACATCTGTATGGTTTTAGTTGTGCCTGAAGTGGGGCTTTAAATAGTAACCTAATATTATTGTGAAACTTGTTAAATCAATCCTATGCCCTTTACAGGATATTAAGTCCATGTGTTTAACGCCGAAATACTGAGCAATATAAATCAATTCCTGGCAAATGACGCACAAGATGAATACGTCACCGCTTTTTCTAAACTATGTTTAGTACGGTACATATTAACAAGCATTTAGGGATGCCCGCACATACCTTTAGTGGACTTTAAAGGAAATTCGAGTTTATGGTGTTTTCAAGAACAAAAAAAAATTGGAAGCGATCATTTAGTATGATAAGAGACATAGCTATGGTGGATTACAAACCAGGGCCTATCTGTACAGTTCCCTGCAGCTAATAAGTCCACCCCCATCAGTAAGAGCCCTTACAAAGCAGTATAAGGCAGAGGTGGGACTAATTTAATGGAATTCAGGAGCCGATGTATCCAATCTAAGGGCCAGCAGTTTTTTGTTTTTTTTTAGAAGCCAACTCCATTGACAACAACTAGAGGAAACCTATAAAGTTATGCACCAGCTGCAATTTTTAAGGAGCACTGGTTACCCGACTCCTGGGATTTCTCCAGTCCTGGTATGAGGAGTTCTGTCACGAGAGAAACATGGAGGCTGCCATTGCTGACCTTTCCTTCTGAAAATACTAGTTATCTTGTAACGAGTAAAACATTGTTACGAGGGATGCACCGATACTAGTAATGCCGAGTATTTGGAACTGGTACTCGCCCAAATGATAGTGACGAGAAGCATAAGGACGGCTTCCCTGCTAATTGGGAAGCCAGGTTGCGAATCATTACACGCCGCCTGGCTTCCTTAATGGGACTTCCGGTATTGGTATTCGGTATCGGCGAGTACCGGGGAAAAAAAATATCGGTATGCGTACTCGACACCGAAATACCGGTATCTGTGCATTCCTACTTGTTACTTGCATTGCTAGGTGGTGCTTATGGTACGATCGGCTTAAAGAGGGACTAAAATAGATATTAAGAAAACAATTGCCGACAGGGCAGTAATAGTGATGACTCTTTATACCTCTTATGTCATAAATGCTTCTCCCTGCCTGTCACGTATAACTTCGTGCACATGCTTGGCATGCCGTAGTGCTAAGATGAAGTAACTCCTGTGTGAGTTAAGTTATCCCAGACAAGCAAATCAAGATGGTTGATGACTCTAAACCCAGGAAGACTGGGCAAAGATGGAAGCACCAGCAAGAAAGCAATGAGGGCAACTGTGGCCGTTACATAACAAGTGTGTGCCATAATGTGAAATCATGCAGAGTATACTTTATTATTATTACTTATATTATACAATATTCACAAAGTGCCAACAGATTTGTCAGTGCTTTACTTGCAAGTTATGGCAAAACTTACTGTGGCCTCCAAACATTAGGAGGGGTTTAGCTCTTTATAATCAGGGACATGTCAGGGCCATTAGAAATGTTAAAGCCATTGCATTTTCTCCAGTTTGGAATTTTATTTTAATGATAAAGGAAACCCAATTCTTCAGCTAAGCTTTGAAAATTAAAGATGGAAGTTGATTGGTTGCCATGGGCAATTGCTCCAGTTTTGATAAATTTGCATCCATGTATCTAGGGTGGTCAAGAAAAGAGCCAGAAACTAAAGGGAAGGAGATCCTGTCACAGGAGTCACTGAGATATTTAGAGGATAACGGAGAGGGGAAGTTGGGAAGATGTACTTTGTCAGGAGCAAAACATTCTGCCAGATTCCACCTACAATTGAACTCACTTCTGGTAGATCTCCCGCCCTCTGCCCCCACCAATACTAAAAATGCCATCTTCTCAGTACACATGTCCAAGGTTCATATGATCAGTTTTCTCTCAATCTCTGATCTTCCAATCACAAGACAAATATGTCTCTCTTGTGTAGAAACACTAATGCAATTAGAAAAAAAAATTTGATCTCAGCATTTGAGTTATGCATCAGCACCTGTTCGCTTTGAGATCTTTAACTATGATCACACACATAAATCATTGTGACTTGTACAACAAATGCGCTTATAGTTCAAACGCATCTATGTGCTTAACAGGCTACATCAGCACAGATGTGGAGCTGGTGCAGCTCTAGGAGAAGCCATTTCTCATTTTAGCTATACAAGGAAAGAAATTGAAAACAGAAAAGGTAGCCAGGGATAGACATGATAAAGTAGTCACAACTGAAACAACATGGGGGGAAGAATACCAAATAGCTTTGTACTGGTGGCACCTGTTTTCATTGGAAAATACAAAGTATCTGCTCTGTTGTTCTGATATATCTACATTTTGATTGCATTACCCAAAAAGTACTAAAAAAACCCAAACATAATGTGCCACTTCATTCAGGGCTCGTTTAAAGTCTTTTTCCAGCTAACCCCTCGAACCACTCATTGCTCCACCATTCCACCAGAAGTCCACCCTTCTTCTGCTCTTAGTTTAAGCATACACAAGGCTGATGAGGTCACCCCCCTTCCTTATGTGGACCTGGTAATTGGCCACCAAGGCCTGAGAACTGCATATACTAGGAAGTAGTCACACGCTCCCCCATATATACCGGGAATTTGTGATGTTCAAAACGGAGAGACTGTGGAGCAGGAGGAAAGGAAGTATGAGTGGGCCGGTTAAAATACTCTCCCTTTTTACAATAAAGACCTCTTTAAAGGCAATGTGCAGGTTTTAAATATCTTTTTTTTTTTTTAAACTACTACAGATTGTAATCAATAACAAAAGTAGTACTAAAGACTTACAGGGTTATGGAGAAGGCAGGAGAAGTGAAGATTTATAGATTTAATTATTTTTCAAAGAATTAAATCTATTTATGCCAGCTGAGCAAGGGAAAATACTGTTTAATTCTGAAAATGTGCAGCGAAACAATTTGCTGAATTTACAAGCACAGCTTGAGTTGCTCTGCACTGCGCCCCTATACTTAGGGTTGGGGAGTGAGCATGTATAATTTCATGCAAGGTGCAAGGATCCCCCTCCTTGTGACTAAATGTCCCATAATGCCAAGCGCCACTGTGCATGCGCTCTCTGCCCGGTCCTCTCTGGCTGCTGGTACCAGTAGTCTCTCTGCCGGGAGCGTGCACAAAAGCGTGGCTCCATAGGACCCCCTCAAGGGAACAGAGCCACCAAAAAGAGGAAACCTGCCCCAATCAAGAAAGGAAAGCTTTGGAAAAAAGAAGCAGATGTGGTAAGTGCCTGGCTCAGCTGCTATAATTGTTCTAAACATGTAGGCTTTTAGTAACACTAACATTTTAAAAACTTTGATTTCCCTTTAATCCTCTGTTTTACATGTGCAAGGGAGCTGTCATAATTGTTATAATGTATCCACACTCTACTTCCTGTTTAACTACTGTACACAAGAGTTGCAATTTACTGCACCTTCTCACAATGTGTGTTTATGGGAATATACACACTGTGTTTATACACACACAATATGTGTTTATACACACACAATATGTGTTTATACACACACACACACACACACACACAATATCTGTTTATACACACACACACACAATATCTGTTTATACACACACACACACAATATCTGTTTATACACACACACACACACACACAATATGTGTTTATACACACACACACACACAATATGTGTTTATACACACACACACAATATGTGTTTATACACACACACACAATATGTGTTTATACACACACAATATGTGTTTATACACACACAATATGCGTTTATACACACACACTAAGAATGATGGCTTCATTACTTCACAACTGTTAAAATAAGTTGAGTGACTGCGGTGAAATACAAAACTCCCTCTAGTGTTTAACCTGGAAATGTTAAATTCAATACAACAATAACATAGAAGAGCAAGCATGTAAAAGTGACACCTAAAATTACTTAAAAAGGTAACCACTGCAACACAAAAAAAAATTCTACATTAATTTATCTTTCCCTTTAAAGTGCTCTGTACAGAGGAGCTGGCTCAAGCAGCGTGGGCCTACGCTAAACATGAACATATGGACATGGGACAATACAACTTGCATCTGCATCATTAAAGGCAGTGGGGAAACAACATAAAACAGAATACTGAAAATGTGAACAGTGGGTTGAAAGTTTAACAGTAACTTTTAGGAAAACATCGATCCTAATGCTATGAGAAATAGATTTATCTGGATTCAGCACACTAGGGCACGAGAGATGAAAGCTGTAACATTTATAGTAAAGTAATAATGAGCTTATTTTAGTGCATTATGTCCTTTATTTCTTGCAGATGTGGATGTTTCAGTTACTTGCTTTTAGAGATTCAATTAATGACATTAGTAGTGGCAAAGGTTCGAGTTTTAGCACCACACTGAATGACCCGTGGTAAACCATTTAATAAATTACATTCCTAATATAGTTTTACAACTGAAGATTTTCTGTCGAGACAAAAATCCCCATTACACCCACCTACTTTATCAAGGTATTCTGACTTTTCTTGGCTTTAAGAGGATATTTCACACACACGCATTTTTCCTCTTGATACATTGCAGAATACAATTTAATTTATTGAAATAATTACCCAAAAAGTAAAATGGAGGATGAGGAATGGCTGCAGTCACTGTTCGAAATGTATGGACCAGCTCCTTTGACTGAAAATGACTGAAGAATCGACTTTTGTTGAATGGGGGGGGTCACAAACTGGTTGAATGTCGGCAAAGTCAGCAGCCCAGCTAGATTTAAGCTCAGCACACACATTACAATCTGGCTGTACAATCTTCTTTAGATCCATCAACAACTACTGTATGTAGTGCTGGGGCCTGTCTAAATGGATACAAATTGATGGGATAGTTTAGGTAGGCCCTCATGTTACATAGTTTTGGCAAATCTAAAGTTGATTGTACAGTCAGATTGCAATGGGTTTAGTGAACTTTACAGTCAATTGTCTTCACTCCTACCAGATCCCTGCTATACGGCCCAGGGAGCTGCATAGCCCGACGCCACAACCTCCCAGGTCTGTCTCACTGTTATGTGCATGTGCACAATATCCCATTCATTTCTATGGCAAAGTCATCCATTTACATCCAAAGTATAAATGGGATCTCTAAAGCCTTGGTTCTCAACTAGTGAGTCGTGACCCAAAAGAGGGTCGCGACCCCATGTTTAGTGAGTCATTGAATGCCTTCTATTTTTCTAGGCGAGAGGCTCCTCTGCCTCCCCCTAGCCCAGCACTGTCAATTCTAGCACCAAGCAGCCATTTAAAATATGCTGCCTGGCGCTTGAGTCCAAGGATTTTTAGATCCTTAACGCACATTAGAAAGAGTATTTACTTGAAGCTGATCACATCCTGGTATATCTAAAAAGCACTATAGTTTCTTATTGCCGTGTATCCGCCATTTAGAAGAAGGTTTGAATAACTGCAGCTCATAAAGCTGTAACACTTCTGCTGTTATACGGATTACAGTAACAGTAAAAATTATTGTTGAGTCCACAATGCTGAAATAGGTATAAATAACTAGTCATAAAAGACTACCTCTCAAAATTAATAGAAAAGACAATTGCCGATAAAAACTATTTTAATCCGAGAGTTGGATGAAAGACCTTGGCACATAAAACACAAATGCATTTAAAGGAGTTTTTGTCCTGCCAAAATTAATTTTAAGCAATAATCCTGATTTAAGCATCCCGTTTGGGAGAGATCAATACGAGAAGAGGGCAAGGGCTTGACTAGCTACATAAAACAGGTTTGACAGGCTGTGTCAAACTCCGTTCCAGAATCGAACATCTAAATAAAAAATAAAATAAAGTGTATCCACAAGTAAAGTGGTCAGACGTGGCGGTGTTTGTACCTGATACACGGGCCATCCTGGTAGAAAAATAGCACTGCTCCAAATCTTCAAAATGGGCGGTGAGACGTTTCCGCCGCGATGCCAACGTGCTGTTGTACCAAGGCTGCTTCTTTGTCTGCAAGAGAAACAAAAACGAATAATGAATGACAGTGCCGATAATAGAAAGACAGTCAAGTATAATGGCAAGCAAAATTAGGTCATCCAGTACTGTGTAGCAAAGGGAGGCAGTTCATTGCCTAGCGATACTGCAAGTTCCAATGGTTGACAAGGCCTGGTAGGACAATTTCAGAAAAGAAGATGGACCCACCAGGGTAAAAGAGACCATATGTCACCAGCGATCTGATGAGGGTAAATGGTTTCACTATATATAAACACTGGTTATGGGTTATGTGTGTATTGGTGTTTTTTTTTTTTTTAAGTATGTTATACAGTGCAACCTGTTTATCAAAAGACTGTCAGCACCACTCCCCTCTGTTAGCTCTCTTTGTATTCCTGAGGAGCTCATTAAAATTACATTCTCCTGCGTCTGGCCAGCCTCCTGCTATGGCTGTCTGGAGCTCTTTAGCAGCCAGACCCCTGTGGGGTTGTACAGTCAGAATGTCTGGGGAGGGCAGGGTGGATGTGTTGGGATTACAATCTTATCTGATAACTTTGTATATAAAAGGTTGCACAGTTGCTCAATAAATCAGAGTTTGTTTCACCCTACACTTGGTTCCGGCTAGTGACTGGGGGAATTGGGAGCTAAAGATCACTTGGTTGCAGCATCTCCTCAGCAAGGAAGAATACAGCGGCGGACATACTCATCCTGAGTACTGGAGACCGTCATAAGCACATTATGATTCAGGAAACATTCTAAATTGTTGTGTAAATAGGAAAGGTCTCTGCCTCTGTCAGGGATCATTGTTTTAGAGAGAGACAATGCAATAGGTGGGTACAGACCTCTTGGTTCCAGCCTATAGGTACAGGTTTGCACAAACACCCTGTACAAGCACTAACCTTTACTGTTCACCTTCACCATCCACACTTTCTAATCAATGCAGTAGAAAACCCAAGTTACATATTTATAGTATTTGAGGTTGAAAAAAGACACAGGTCCATCAAGTTCAACGTGTGTGTGTGTGTGTGTGTGTGTGTGTGTGTGTTGCGCTTGCATATAAGAGTCCCTGTATGGTCTAGTATTTAAGTGTACCCGTACCCCTGTATGTTTAAGTCTCTTAGGATGGTATCTAATTGTTTTTTAAATGATTCAATACTCGCTGCTGATATCACTACTTATGGCAGAGAGTTCCAAAATGTAACCGCTCTAGCTGAAAAGAATCCCCTATTCCCTTTGTGGATAAATCTTTTCTCCAACAATTTTAGGTGGTTGCCTCTAGTCCTTGTTATGGAGTTTACAGTAAAAAGTTTAGTGCCGATGTTGCAAGTGAAATATAAAAAGTGCAGAAACCTTTAGCAGCCAACAAAAATTCACGAAGGCCTCTTTTTCTTCCGAGTTGGTCACATTCGACCATTGCAAACATCAGCACCAATCCAACGATGGACCCTTTACACTACCGATTCACCTAATTACACAGCCTTAATGAAGAGAATACATGAATACCCTTAAGCGCATTGGCTAAAATCACAATGATCAAATAACACCTCTGAATAAGAAGCATTTTTTTTCTCCTTCAAGTTTTGTCTCCCTGGACTGGAGTAAAGCGGTCACCTTTTGCTACCTCGGCCTGTCACTCTTCACTTGCTGCGTGACAGATGATACTAATCCTTAGCAATGCGTTTGACTGCTTATTTTGTTTCGACTAGGCAGGCCGTTAAGCTGCTCCAAT